GACACAACTGATATGGCCAGGGAGTAAGCCAAAAACTTACATGTAATTGATATTTCTGAGGAAGAGATAGAAACAAGGAAAGAAAAAAGCTATCAAATAATAATAATGATCATATGAAATAATTACAGCTAACATTTGTTAAAGGCCTGTTATGCCTCAAGCTACATGCCTGTATTTTATTTTGATTGTTAAATTTAATACACACAACAGTACTATGAGTAGTTATATAATAACTCTAGTTTAAAAATGAGAAAATTGAGCTTAAAAGGGTATAATAATACTCTCCTAAGTCATTAAATGAAGCTTTGCTCATACAATTTAATTTTTTTAAAAATTCAGTAAATATATGGACCCCTACATATATTTTACCAAAAATTTTTGTACTGTTAATAAGAAAAATGCAAGTATTCTAGCTTTTCTTTCTTTCACTGTCATCTCTTCCCTTCCTCCTCCTCCATCCCTCCCTCCTTCTCTCAGTAAAAAATTCTAACTAGATGTGTTCTACCACCACAACCAAAAACTCATTAGGAAAGACTGCTATGTGTCTGTAACCAACAGCTATTTTAAGTTGTAGTTTACATGACCTGTTGGCTGTATTTGTCATTGTTGATCAACGCTTCTTAAAATTCTCCCTTTCTTTGGATCCTATGTTGCCATGCATTTTTGCTTTACATATGCTATCCTATCTTTTTGCCTGTAAGAAATCCTGGCACAAAGTAAACTCTCAATACTTACATGTTTTGTTTTCATATTATAAATTCTGAGACCTTGAACTTTCACCAACTGATGTGCAAAATTCTACTTTTGCAATGCCAGTGTTCATGCCCCTGGATAACTTCAGAAAGTCTCCAGTTTAATGTGATCTTTAGTTCAAAAGAAAATATTTGTTGAAGTATCTCAAGTCTACTTGAGCCCAAAGTAAACTGAAATGGAAAATGCAATCTACCATTGTTATGTTTTACATTTTAAAATTCTGTGAAAATGACAAAGAGTCATACTTTGGAAAGTCAAACATACATAATAATCCGGTCTTTAAAAGTTATCTTAATGAGAATAGGAGGAAATGGGGAATCACTGTAAGCTGTGAATGTACCTCATTGCTTGAATGCTCCTGCCTTTCCTGTAAATGATTTTGGTTATGAGGAAAGAAAAGAGGCATATAAAGAGAAGGTAAGAAGACTGTCCACTCCCCAAGTGAGCCTCATTTTCCCCATCTGGAAAATGGAGTGGTTCTACATATCACAAGAGGCACTGAGTATAAAAATACAAAGCAGAAGTGTGTTTTCACATAAAATTATTTTATGCATTAATCCATTTATCCAAAAAATGAAAAATTTTTGGATAAAATGTAAAGTACTATGTGGCAAGTACTTTAAAAAACAGAGACATATCATAAGTACAATGCTCCAAAAAACCAATGTTCTGATGGAGAAGATAGGCCTGAAACCAAATGACCCCAGAACAATTTAATAATTGCTATAAAAGAGACATGAACAAAATGTTGCTAGGTGTCTCATCATCTCTTCCTTTAACTTTTCCAAGTTCCCTGTCAATATCTTAGGTCTTATCCTTATGGAGTCTTTTCTCTTTTTTTAACTACTTCTTAATTGAATTATCATAGTTCTCTCTCAGGTTCTAGATTGTCTCATATCCAGCATATTCCCCACCTGACTGATGGTTGATTGTATTGAAATATAGATATGAACATGTACTTCTTGCCTACAAATTATTTGACAGCTTCTCAATGTCAGCAATTAAATTCCATGCTGCTTAGTTGGGCAAAATCTTTCCTAACATACCTCCTATCTAGCTCTCTAGTCTCATCCCCCTTCACTCCTCTAGAAACATGCGTAGTTCCAGTTTTAACGAACTAGTTATTTTTAAAAACTAGCAGATTATTTCCCTCACCTGGGCCTTCATTCATGCTATTTTCTTCTTCATTCATGCTATTTTCTTCTACATGGTTAACAACTCATTTCACATGATTTTAGCTTAAATATTAGCTTTTCGGAAAGGCCTTCCTGACAACTCTACCTAATGTAGCCCTGACTTAATCCTCTTCTATATTGGCTTCCCTGCATCATGTCATCCTGTCACTGCCTTTTTCTTTGTGTGTGTGTGTGTGTGTGTGTGTGTATGTGTGTGTGTGTGTGTGTAACGTTAGTTTTCCCCATTGGAATACTGAATCTTGAGGCAGGGAAATTGTCTGTTTTGGTTACCATTTTATCCTTCCAGTTTAGTACAGTTTCTGTAACATAATGGCTGTTCCATAAATATGTGCTGAAGAAGTAAAGTAAGCTTGCCCATATACCAAACAGATTCACAAGCTCGTTCTGCTTCCGCATGACTCATCTGCATTAAAGACACAAAAAATTGGGGCGTTTGATCTTGATCCTAAATCCAATTTTCTAGAAAAATAATCATGCCCTACAAGGATATGTTGGTAGTTTAAATTGGAACGAGAAATTCCCCCAAATCCCAAAACACATTCCCCCATTTTATGATGTTCGATTTATATAGAGGCCCACGTTAAAATTAAGCAAAGCTCTTAATTTTTTGGCTCCCCATCCACCTCACATTAATCTTTAAAATCCTGTTCCTGCCTTTTGTTTTTTTCTATACCAAACTGTCCTACATATCTGCGGATTAATGTTGTGGCTTCATAGTGACAAACATGTCATAAAAATGTTAAAATGTGTGGCTTGCTTAATATGTCTCAGTAATTTCCTTTGTTCCTATTTGACATGTGATGCATATATTTATTTAATAGATGTTTACTTGAAAAGTGCTCTATGCAAAGCACTGTGGGAAGCACTAGCAGGAAATGTAGACTCCTTCTCTGCAAATGCTCAGCATAATGTTGGGAATGTAAAATTATTCAGTACAAATATAATTGACAATAGCAATTTGAAGAACTCAGATGAGATTGGAGGAGGAAGACTTGAATCATTTTCCTGGATTGCAGAGTAAATTACTGTGTGACATTTGGCAAGTAACTTCACCTTTCTCAGCCCTAGTTTCTTATTTGTAATCCGGGATCCGAATTATGTAGCACAAAATTAAATTTCCAATGTATACAGGTCTCTGTAAATTTAGGAAATTAAAACTTAAGCAATGAAGTATTTATCAATTTGTCAAATATTAAATGAATAACAATTATCATTTGGCAAATTTCTTTGGAAATGGACATTCTTATAAACTGCAAGCAGATATGTAAATTGGTACAATCTACTTATAAGGCATAAAAATGTGAGCTGAGCATCGAATTCTTATTTACAAAAATTTTCATTACAGCAACATTTTAAAAATAGCTAACTGCATAAATATCTAAAATTAAGAAAATAGATTAGTATTTCATCGTCCATTTTAACCTTTAATTCTATTTCTGGAAGCTATTTAAAGTCCCTAGAATGTGTCAGACTCAGTTTCAAGTGATGTATATGTATAACTCAATTTAATTTCTACCAAAAATATATGAGTTAGGCACTGTTAGTACAGCCACATTGCAGATGAGGTAATAGTGAAACAATTAGCTTAGTGCCTGGCTGAAAAATAATAGGGTAAGTATCGAATTGACACAACTTAACTCCACAGTCCACGCTCTTAGGCATGGTAGCAAGCTCCATTGTACCATGCCATGAATGGTATGAATCCAAGGTAAAATATAGTCGAAATAATTCAGCAATAATAGATGAGAACTGATGAGTATGTAATGGTAGTACATGCTTACCATGATGTACCACTTATAATGATAGTAAAAATGGAAAGGGAAAAATAGCCTGGGATATGTGTGGCAAGCATTGTGGAGAATCAGACTAAATGTTGAGGGAAATAAAATAAGTTAATGGAGTTAATCAATATGGAGATCAATAAACAAAATAATAATGCAACCACTACTTATTAGGAGCTTACTATGTTTTAAATGCTATGCTAGTCATTTAATACACCATCTTACAAATTAATAAGATTTGATTAGTAGAGATAATTAAGTTGGATTTCATTTTAAACTCCTGGAGTTTGAGGTGTCCAAGGGGCATCCTATTGAGATATTTATAGGGAGTGCAGATGGAAGTGAAAGATGCAGAATAAATCAGACAGGACGCTAGCAGGAGATTCTTCCCAAGAGACATAGGAGTCTCAGGAAGCATAGGGTTAAATTGGTATCTACATATCATATAGTATATGTGTCTCTTCATTGTTATCAGCATTAATTCTATAAGTTGCAGAACTCACACTTATCCAAAAGAAGTCAGCTCTTTATTTTTTGTGTAACTGATCTAATTTTTCTTATTAGCCCTTACCTACTATGTGGTAACAAAACAAATACACAAATAGGCAAACTAACTTTAACAATTTCTATTATCTTTAATAGATAATAAACAATTTAAACAATTTCTATTATCTGAATGGTCTTGGTGTACATTACTTTTCAAAATTAAGAAAAATGTAGAAGAAACAGTATAAACTCCAGTGATCAATCACATACATTGAATAATCGTTAGCATTTTGCCAAGTTAGTTTTTCCTTTTTTTCTCACTCTATTTTTAGAGTTAATCATAAACATCATTATATTTTACCTCTAAATATTTTATATGTATCTCTAAAAATCATTTTTTCCTTTATATGTTTTCTATGACTATTGTACGTTAAAAAGTAACAATATTATGCAGTCTATTTTTCAAATCCCCTAATTGTCCCCAATGTGTGTTTGTATGAGTTTGTTCAAAGTGGCATCAAATCAAAGACATCAGCTGAATTTCGTTAAGTCTGTAAGGTTTTTTGAAATTTAGAAATGTCCTACGTCTTTCTTTTCATATACCATTGACTTGCTGAAGACACTAGGTGGATTGTCCTGTAGAATAACCCAACATTTGGGTTCCACTCTTTGAGAGAGACTATTTTGGATGCTGCTGGATGCTTTATACTGTGTCATGTTAGAAGGCACATGACTTCTAGTTTTCCTGCTGTTCATGACGCTAAGGTGGGTTACTATGTTACAGAGTCTGCGCAGCCTCTCGCGGCCGTGCTCCTCCGCTTCGCGCTGCTACGTGGGCCTGCTGCACTGCCGCCCTGGACCTTGCCCCTGCCCCTGCCCAGCTCCATCGCCTTCACCATCGTGGCAATGCCCAGGATGACGGCAGCAGGTGCCACCAGGATGGGTGCCGGAGCCTCATGGAGTACGTAGGAGGAAGAGCAGCCTCTGCCATGCTCTTCTGTGGCTGTATCATGCTGGTGACCTGTTCCATTCTCACCACCTTTGCCCTCTGTGCAGCCCCGATGCTAGTCCTCCTGAAAGTGAGTTGGAGGCCTCCTTGCCCTGGCTGCTGTGTGGCAGATCATCTCCCTGGTAATTAACCCTGTGAAGTACACCGATACCTTCAACCTTCACGCCAACCCTGCCGTCACATCACATCTGTCACTGGCCCCAATTATTCTGATTGGCTGTCCTTTCTCCTTCTGCTGCGGCCTGAAGGACGAAGACAACCTCCTGGGCGGCACCAAGCCCTGGTACTTCCACATCCGCCTGATTGGGGAGGAGAGCCAGAGAAGACCCTGCTGAGAAGGACTCCAGAGGAAGAAGCTGTTTCCCTAGGCGACTTCCTACCTATTTTGGGGCAGTGTTCACAATATTAAACTAGTAGAAAACGCTACAATGATTTGGGAGAAAATATGTGTTACAATGTCATATTCACTTTTTATATATGTTCTTTGGAGCTGACGTGTTTGTTTTCACTAACCTTGTATCTATCCATAACAGTTACATTTTTTATAAGAGAAGATGAACATGAAACGTACCACTTTATAAAGTAAAAATGAAAAAGCCTCCAAGATTTAATATTTCCAGGAAGAATGGACTGTATCTATTAAGGGCTAAGGAGGAGAGAGATATTGGTAAAAAATGTCAGTGACCAAACGTTCTAAAAAGAAATGCAAAACAAAATATTTTTTGTTATTGAGCCTTCAATTATTTAAAGATGCAAAATGGTTTCCTAACTACATATCAATTGTAAGAATTTCTCTTTAATATCTTGAATAATTCACCGTTTTTGCTAAGCTTCATGTTGACTTTACATGCCATTTAGGAAATGATTGTTTCGTGGCCAAAACATGTTGCAGTGGTAAGGCTTTCTTAAACAGTAAAATGTTTAGATGAAGTTTTCTCTTTGAAAATTCTCACAGGGTGAGGGTGTGGGAAAATGCTGTATTAATAAATAAATAAATCTGCACTGTTTTGTGTCTGCATGTTCAGTACCAAAGTAGACTGGGATGAAAGATGGACTGGGTCTAATTCATCATGACTGCTAGTCCTGATTAGGTTGTGTAGCAAAGCATTAGAAAGGCCATTCCCATCACAGGAGTGCTATTAAAATAGCCTAAGAAGAAGAAATAGTTTTTTTTTTCCCCCTCAGGCCTAACTGGGTTGTAATCATATAGACAAAGCTTCTGGTAGATTGCAACTGCAAGCAGACACCTACATATAGTTGAAAAATCTGGTCTTTTTTGGTAAAGAGATGTGAAATGTCTGATGTAAGCCATGCAACAGGGATGTGAGTTTCCCTGAATGGCATCTATATGATATGTCAGATTAATTATTACTATTTTTTACCATTTGTACTTACATAATGAAAATGAGCTCATTTTATGTTCAAGTTATTACTTTGTAAGTTGTAGAATATGCAATTAAAGTTTTAATTGTGAATTTTTCCCAATAAATGAGGTATTCTAAAAAATGAGTTTGCATAGTTAGATTTCCCCTGGCAACCAGATATTTTATGGGTTGATATTTTGCATCCATGCAGTTATTCTGCTCTCTGTCATCATTTCACTTAATAGTTTCAATGTCCACTGTTGATCTTTGCTTGAAAAAATCATTTTATTAGGGTTGCATGACTCAATCTCTTTTTGATAAATATTCAGTCTTTCAAACATTTCACACCTCACAAAAATATGTACATTTTCCCCCAAAGTGATAGGTGCATGAGAGAGTTTACCATGTGCTTGAAGAAAAAAAAAGAGGCCCTCAAATCCACATAGAAACTTCTAGATTCTCTTAACTATGGGTGTTCTTCAACTTCCGATCTATTCTCTTTTGTCTTAGACAGGACCTGGTGCTGCTACCTATCTGACTTTGCATCATCTGGGTTCTTTTTGGTGCTACATGACTTCTGCCTATCATCTACCACCAGCCCCATATTGTCCCTGGCTTAGGCTGTCCAGCACAACACATTGCCATGAGGTTTCCTCATTCTGTGCTAAGATGTGTACTCCATGGAAAGACAAATGCTATTAAAACTGCTGACACATGTATATCAGACCACTGTGAAACCACAGGATTCTTGAGTCTGTTGCACATAAAGCAAGTATGGTTTGGGAAATAAGATGAAGAACTAACCATTTTGGCTTGCCTAAGCTTGAGAGGTTTCCAAGGAAGCAAGAATTTCAATGCTAAAACTGGGGTATTTCTGTGAAAACCAGGACAGTTGCTCATCCTATTGGAAAAGCCAAAAAGAAGTCTTCTCTTAGCCTAATAGTACCACGCTGCAGGGTACACTTGACTGGGGCTGCTCCAGGCTGGCCTGGGACTGACACACACAGCGGTCGTTCCAAGCCCTCTCTGCCTTCATATCCCTCTCAGCATCTCCAACACGCCTCTCTTCTGGCACTTTGATCTGGAGATGGCTGACGGGCAGAACTGCCCTACCCTCTGCTTTGTTGGCTCAGTGGAATCCTTTCTTCTCCCACAATCTCTTTGGCAGAAGATATATGTGTTTCTGTTTTGCTTTTCTCTTTTTGGATATACAAGGTTTTTCTTCATCCATCGGTGAGACAGCCTCGGTGTTTGCTTTTTCCAGGCCATATTCTTTCTGACTCAAGCCTTAGAGCTTAGACTAGTAACATCCTTACATGATTCACTAGTTATAGAGAGTTCTCAAGGCTTTGGTTAGAATTTAATCAAAATTCTTTAATACAAATGCCTTTCTGCCTCAAGTATAAGATCTCATCAGCTGCATTTATATCAATCCAATTGATTCGTCTTTTCAATAGCTGTTGAACAGATCTGTCCAAATGTTCAAGCACGGGAGATGTTTTCTCAAATGTACATATGCTTACCAAGCCAGGAAGCTCAGCAACACTCCTCTTATGAGTGCTTTACAGAGGGGTGCCATCGTCTTCCAAGAAAATGAATCTTTCTTCCCCAAGCTTGAGGGAGGAAACACAGTAAAGACTGGGTAAAGGCTAGGGTACAAGAGAAAAAGATGGCCTTCTTTATAAGGGAACCTGATTGAGAAATATTTCAAAATTATTTTATGTCAAATATCCATTTTACTTCAAAGGAAATAATACCTGTCATGTTTTAGGATATAAAGTTAAATTTATGGTGGCTTTAAAAATCATGATATATTAAAGGAAAAAAGGCTCCTGAAAAAAGACACACTAGAAAATTCTGCTTTTGCTACTTTCATGATGTGAGTTGGCTTGAGGATGGATTAAATGGAATTTGAAAGCATCTGGAGAATATTCTAATACTGGTACTTCTAAAATGTTTGTGAATATTTTTATTTCTCAGTCAGGCTCAGTCAGCATTTTGCCTGATATCCATTTATATGGTAGATGTTATGTGGCTAATAAAATTCTCTAATATTTGTAGGCCATATGGCATGTACCTCTTAAATTATCTTGAGTGCTGTGACTATCAGGGTATAGGTATCACAGGAAATCTACATAGAAAGTGGAATGATTTATTCTACAGAGCTTGTAGAAATGGGATATAAAGTCATTTTTTTCTGAGTATGTTCAACATGGTTTTCTGTTATAACAGACTGTCTATTATATCTCGACTGGATTAAAAACTCCCAGAAGACAATGTGCCTTCTGGAAGAGAGAGCACATAGGTCTTTCCACGTTTTTTCTATGAGGAATGCCATAGACAAAGAGGTAGTGTTGGGAGTAGAGTTGCAAAATGTAAGGAGCTGCCTAAAGCTCAGCAACCAAGATAAATATTTTAATGCAGTATTTTTAAAATTAAAAAGTTATGCAAATGCATTAAATAGCAACTATTAATATTAAAATAAAGATGGGATAAATCCTATGGAGATTTCTTTCTGCTTCAGGCTCTAGTATAGTTCTGTATGGCACTACAAGAAAGTTCTCCAAGGAAGGACTTGCTGCCCAGCTGTAAGGTCAGCTGTTAACATCTTTAGTGTCTGTCTGAACTGCAGGTTCCTCCCCTCCCTGAGGTCAACCCTTGCCAGGATGTCCACATGCATAACTGACGGAGGCAGAGGTAGAAAGGCCTAGCTATTTTGGCCTGATCAGAGAAAATTCTGAGGCATTGCTCTCTTCAGAATTCCTTGCCAGATTGGCCAGGCTTTATCTCATGTGCACCTCAGTTCAACTTCTTCTTCAGCCCAATTTTGTTTCCCCCGCCTTCCTTCACACGTGTTGATCTTTAAAACATCTTGCATCCGAAATTCTGACTTAGTATCTGCGTTCAGAGGACCCAACCTGTGACTGGGTTACAGCTGCTGCCAAACCCAGCTTCATCTAGGTACTATGGTTTAGATTAAAAATGTAAGTTTGCATATTCTCTGGTTTCTTTTCTTAAAAATTTAAAGGTGCCGTTATACATCAAGCTGTTTGGGAGAATAGGAATTGACTATAGACAATTTTCTAGCAATTAACTGCACACACGCAGTTATAGCAGACAGAATTATAAATAATATTTGATCATAGCTACACAGTGGTTTTACTATTAAAAAATCAGTCCAATCTCTAAGTGCATTTAAAGCCCTGTGCCCAGATTTGTTAGAGTGCCAATTTCTCATGGTTACAGTTTGCATTCTCCTTTTTGGTTTACATTTCTTTTTTGTTCCTATTTATCACATGATCTCATATCAGACTAGTAATATCCTTACATGATTCATTAGTTATAGGGAATTCTCAAGGCTCTGGCTAGAATTTAATCAAAATTCTTTAATACAAATGTCTTTCTGCCTCAAGTATAAGATCTCATCAGCTGCATTGGTATCAATCCAATTGATTCTTCTTGTCATTAGCTGTTGAACAGATCTGTCCAAATGCTCCAAGTGCAGGAGATGTTTTCTCAAATGTATAAATGCTTACCAAGCCAGGAAGCTCAGCAACACTCCTCTTGTGAGTGCTTTACAAAGGGGTGCCATCGTCTTCCAAGGAAATGAATTTTTCTTCCCCAAGCTTGAGGGAGGAAAAAATATGTTTTGGGTTGAGTGTTACCAGAAAGATTGACTCCCTTGAGGTAAAGTCCTTTTTATCTATGATATTCCCTCCTCTTTCCCTATCTTCTTCCTTTCTTCCTTCCTTCATCAACTGCAGAGCCCCACCTTAGCTGAGGGTCCCACTCTTCCTTGGCTGCTCACATTTAGGAAATGCTGCATTCTACCTTATGCCTTCCAGCCTCAAGGAGGTTTGAATTTTAGTTGTTCTGTGTTCACTGCATACAAGTTATATCTGTATCCAGGTAGACAATAATTTTTTCTTCACCAGAATGCCTCTGCCACTCCCCAGCCAAAAAAAAAAAAAAAAAAAGTTACTGGCTTGGGACTCAGAACCAAAGGGTTATAGTATTTGACCTACTGCAAATATGGTACCTGACGTTGATTAATCGCCTGACTTGTCTGAATTCCAACCCTTCTTGCTGGTCTATGGAGACATTCGCTGAATTGTTGTTGACGCTTTCAGTTTCAAAGCAGAACGACACTTTGGGTCTATTGTAGGGATAGCTTTGAAAAATTGCATGTGTAGTCTTAAAGATTTAGTAGGATTGTGGATATATGTGAGGGCTATGGAGTGAGTTATGGATATGAATTCTAAGGTTACTATATAATAGTTAGAAGGCTTTCAGCATATCACGCAACCTCTCAGATTCTTAGTCCATTTATATGTGAACAGAGATAAAGGGGATAATAATAATTAATTTCCATGGATATTTGGAAGAATTGAGACTCCTCTCATCAAAAAAGAGTACTTCATGGCTTGGAATAGTGAGTTTATATTTGTTTGTCATCATTATCATTGGAAAATGTGCAGTATTTTTGTCAGACTCTCTGTTTTAAATTAACATTTTTGCTTGATTGTATTTAGTTTCTGAGTTTATAATAGGTATTAATTTGCATGATTTTGTAATATATATGGTGCTTTGAGCTCTCTGAGGAAGAGCATTATGTAATTAGCAAACATTATTCACTGCTCTGATGTGTGAATACTCAAGGCTCTAGACACATCTATCTTAAAGGAAATATTAACTTCAAAATCTACATAAACCCTATAAATACATACTTAAAACACACTGACAATTTGTAATTTTTCACTTTTCTGTTAAAAGGAAAAGCAAAGACAAAAAGTTACCATAGTACAAAATGTATGACATGATTATGAAATGCTGGAATTCAAAACTCTAGTATCAATTTTCTGCAGATTAAATATAAGAAATGATAATTAGGACTCCTGCCAATCTTTGACAAATACAATCAAAATTCTGTCTATATGTGTTTGAGTTATGCACATTTCCTTAGTGTTATATTAGCTTTCCACATTTGCATATAAGTTAACAGCACATTTACCAATTTTAAAAATCATCCTCATTATTCTGTTAGAAGAAAATAGACATAATTAACCCTTTGTATTATGAGAAAATAGAGGCACAAAGAGTTTAAAGTCATTTGCCTATGATCCCATTAAAGACTAAATTTAC